AATTTTATTAAAATTATTAATTTACTTATTGAAGTTTTTAAATAGTATTTTTTAATTAATAATAATTAGTTTTATTAATAATTGTAAAATATATATATATTTTTAATAATTTAAAAAATTAAAAAAACTAAAAATAAAAGTAATTGATCATTTAAATAATTGTAAAAAATAAATAACATTAATTATTAATTATGAATAAATAACTTACACACACACACACACACACACACACACTTTAGAAAGATCTTTACTGTTACTTTTTACATTAATTCTTTAATGTCTTCAATACTATTTTTTTTTTTAATCAATTTAATGCATCCATGCTGAAGTGTTAAATTATTTCATAAAAAAATTGATTTATTTACTTAAAACTTTTGATGATTGTAGTTTTTTTTCTCAGAAATTAAAACGGTTATTTTAAATCTCAATTTGGGTAAAAATATCTCCTTGATCAAACTGCCAAAAGTTGACATTCAAAATCACTGATATCACTTTCAGTTCATTTATCACATTGGAAATGGAAGAACAGATTGAATGCATTGCATCGTGGGACAAATTAACAGTGCATGATCTGGCAAATGTAGTATTCCTTTCACAAATGGAAAATGTAAGTAAAGCAGTGCTATTCATTTTAGCCAATCATAACGACTAATTTCCTTAGAAATCTGAACAGTACAGTGACAAAAACAACACGCTTGTTCCTAAGTTAGTGATTGTAAGTACTGTAAACATGTAGGATACAGCACTTTTAAATGTTTATTTCCGTAAACATATTGTTTTACATGGAAAGCGATATGTGTTTTATGTGATGGCAGTGTGTGGGAAATGCAGCGGCACAGAAACATCTGATGGTGGACCGCGTGATCTTTTAGCAGTGCGGGTGAAATGGCTTTAAATGACAATTCGAGCACCAAGCAATTAGACTAATGTTCCAAAACCTCCCCGTCTCTCTCTGCTGCATCTGCGACAGGGAGACGGCTAGACCCACGGCTACTTAGAGTCCCGACAGGAAGTCTTTATCCTTGACTCTTAGACAGAGGCCTTGAGAATTTAAGAGCTGATGTCTTCAGGCTGTGGGATGCTAAGATGGTACCAGCTGCTTTAGCTTGAGCATGCTGATTTTAGAATACGTGTCTGAGGAGACTTTGTGTCTCATAAATGAAGACAGGAGTACTGTGTACACACAAAGAGGTGAAATCGCTAACAGTGGTATGTACATCGCTAAAACATGCATTTTATTTACCAACCACTGGCAACCTATTTTAACCAATCGCTAAAATAGTTTTGCAATACGAGTCTTTAAATAGTCAAGTCACCTTTACTTTAATAATGCTTTAGACATTGCTTTAGATTGTATCAAAGCTGCTTCACAGTCAATAATTCACACTTGCAAACTTCAAAAAGCCAAATTCTGCTGTAAAGCAGCTGTGACCAGACAATAGAGGCATTATTGAGCTCCAGTCAGTTCAGTGTTGGTTCAGTTCAGTTCAATAACTGTTTAAAGTTCATTCATGATGAAACCAGTTCAATTCAGCTAGTGTTTTTATTCAGTCAGTTATATGGATGCACAAATAATTTATGGCTGATTATCAATTGGTATAAGATACTCAACTGCACTCACACGTATGCAGCAAAATTCATAATTAATTCTATAAATAAATATAAATTATATGTTTGTGCCTAAATAAAATAGTCTTAGCACAATGCTGTGTTTAGTATTTCCTTTTAGTGTTCATTTATTTTTATCTTAGTTTTAATAATTTTAGTACTTCAGCTTATTTTATTTCAATTACTATCATTAATGTCACTAATTTTCACTTCATTCATTCAGTCAATGAACACTTAAAAAATTAGTTTTAGTTAACGGTAACAACACTAAAAATATAATACATTGTTAAATGTGATCTTTAGCAAATCTTGAAATTAATATCCATTTTAAACATTTTCACTCACTCACTCACTCACACTCACTCACACCAGAATTTTAATGTGTACATCCCTAGCCAACCCTCTACGCATGTCCCCTTTAAACCAGAATCAGTATCTCCACAGCCATCTCGCTATCTGTTTCACACATGCTATTTATTATGAATGAAATGCTATACATTCAGTATCACTATGCTCCTTCTTAGTCTCAGTATGCCCTTTAGGAGAAGTAGGAAAAGACATTTGTGAGTCTCCCGCAGAGATCCAGCAGTGCAGTAGTGGATGGAATAGCAGTTTTCCTCCAAAGCCATGTTGGGTTGAGCAGGGCTTCTCTCCAATAAAACCCACCGGGTCCGAAGCGGCTGTAATGCACAAAACAGCACTGAAAGTATAGACACATCATGTGTTAAAAATTCGCCTCTCTTCGTCTTCCTCTCTGTTTCTGTCTAGCTTCCTCCAAACCCTGCAGGACTCCTAAAGACTCCAGGGCAAGCGTGAGATGCGTTCCGATAAAATGTGTTGAAAACAGTTGCTCGCTAAACATTTGCTTGTCTTATCTGTGCATAAGTGTGGCCCTAGGCCTCTGGTGGAGTCATTTGTAGAGAGGGAATGGGAACTGAGAGGCGGTGCGTGTGTCGCTGTTGATCTGCAAGCTTCTCACAGACAAGACATATTAGTTCGTATGTGAGAAAAAGCTGGCCTTATGAATTTTTCAGACTGATGTTTTCTATACATCATATGCCAGAGGACGAGTCTGATTTGAGGCTGAGGGTTGAGCGTCCTTGCTCTCACGGAGGTTACAGTTTCACATTATAATGCAAGCACTTTCTGTTTCAAGAAATCACAGGTGCAGCTGCCGCACAAAACACAGAGACTCTTGATGTAATTCACTTCCTCGTTGCTTAAGATAGAAACACGGCATTGCAACAAGATGTGAAACTCTTTTTCAAGAGCTTGACAGGCAACGTACGGCCACCAACAGATGGAGGGTGATAATATAACTGGTAGAAACAGACACATTCTTGTGAACGTGCCCGGCGAGAGGGGAAAGGTGCTGAACTGTGGACCGTAACAGGACATCCATTAAGATTATAATCGTTGTTTTCTGGGTTGTTGTAAGAACACATTGCTGCACTGTTGATGAAAATGTCCTGTGTCTGTTGTCACTGGCATTTTGCACATACTGGGAAAGGAAATTACAGATCATAACTTTACAAAACTGAAATTTTTTTTTCTTTTAAAGGAAATGTGCAAGATTCATTTCCAGTAATTTAAGTGTAGGCTACTAACTATTAGTGTGTTGATTTATTAACAGTACGGAATATAAATAGTTAATTTTACAAACGAAATAATAATTGAATTTATTGAATTTTATTAAAATTATTAATTTACTTATTGAAGTTTTTAAATAGTATTTTTTAATTAATAATAATTAGTTTTATTAATAATTGTAAAATATATATATATTTTTAATAATTTAAAAAATTAAAAAAACTAAAAATAAAAGTAATTGATCATTTAAATAATTGTAAAAAATAAATAACATTAATTATTAATTATGAATAAATAACTTACACACACACACACACACACATATACAGTATATTACAATGTTGGACAAGTTAACAGATGTGGTTTATATCTGTGATTTTTATTTTTAATTTTGATTGGTGTAATTGTTATTGGTTATTGGTTTAATCATATTTTAAGCAGTACTGAACAATAACAATATTGCTATCGTAATGCAAAATAATACTGCCTTAATTTCACTACTATTACTGACTTTCATTCAAAAGACCACAAGGAGTCAAATCTTTAGTATGATTCAGTGTATTATGGTTTTTTGATAGCTTGCAGTTACCGTGGAGTTTTGTGGTCGAACAGCATGATCTGCTGATGAGATTCTGGATCTAGAGTTCTGATAAAGTATCAGTTTTTAACAGCTGTGGTCATGAGTCAACACAGGTGTCTGTTTAATATGACAGCTTCTGTTGGAGACTCATCTCATTTCACTCTATAAATGAATGCTTTGGATGTTCGCCAGTCTTTTGCTGTTTGGGAAACTCATTAGTCATGATTCAAAGCAAGTATTGCATGAAATAAGAATGGAAAATTAAATTTAAAAAAGCTTGATGCTGGCTTGTCTGCATTTAGTCTGGATTTCCCATATGTTTTTTAGTTATAGTTCTCATATGCCTTCATGTTTAATTGAATTTGAGAATGTTTAAAAATAATAAGTCATACTATTGTGTAGAATTATATTAATTATATTGCATTATATAATCAGTATTATATTCTAATGAGTGACTTCTATTTTGGAAAGGTGATTTTTAAAGTGAATTTTTGTGAGGAATTTTTCCTTTCTCTCGGAATATAAAGAATGTAGAAGTTTTGCTAATTTCAAACCTGTCTTCTCAAAACTCAAGTGAGGTCCCTTCCTGTTCTTTATGTTATTTAAAGTAATTATTATTTTGATTATGACAATTATGTTTGATTATTGAAATAATTGATGGGGAAAATCAGATAAAGATCCAGTTTTAAATAAAACTTATATTTGTATGTTAATATAGTGTGAATGATATACTGAATGACTTTATCATGACAATCTAACAAAAATATTATTTGAAGATGATACATTTTTATGAATATTTTAATTGTTTTTACATGCTCATATATGATACACATCATACATATCATACATGTTCATACATTGTCATTTACATGCCCATGAAAAAAATATTTAAACAGAAAATAATTGTTCAAAATTATGGCAGTTTTGGTGTAAAAAAAATCTAATAATTTTTTAAAACTTATTTTCTGTTTAAATATTTTTTTTTCATGAGCATGTAAATGACAATGTATGAACTTTTATATGAGCATGTAAAAATTTAAAATATTCATAAAAATGTATCATCTTCAAATAATATTTTTATTAGATTGTTTATCATTCTTTTTAAATAAATCATCAAATGTTGTGAATGCAGATGATACTTCAGTATGAATATTAATAATAAAACTAGTTTAAATATTAAATATGCTTCTTTAATATAAAATATGCCTTTATTTCTGTCTAGTTTCTCTGCTTGAAGAACATCAGGACATTTTTGCATGCCTGCTCAGAGATATTCGGCATGAAGAAGAGCGAGCTGTTTGAGGCTTTCGATTTGTTTGACGTTCGAGATTTCGGAAAGGTAAGAAAAGATTTCACTTTCAGCTCTCTTATTTGAAATGCTTTCTTTTTGAATTCATCCCATAATCCACTGACATACAGTATTCACTTGTTCGGTTTGCAAGCATCATCTAACTGGTGTAATTTGAATTGTTCTTGTGCCACAGTCATCCGTCAGAGTTTATGGTGTGTCAGTCACAGATATGGTTGTGTGTTGAGTTTTCTGACATTAGCCTGTGAGCTGGCTGTGTTATTTGTGGTGTTGTGTCTCAGTTGATTATGTTCAGAGATGCTGAGCTCTTTGTTGGCTATCTGCTGTAATAAAGTCTCAGTGTCTGCGTCTCATCCTGCTGGTAATTTAATTTGATCAGTGGAGGAGGGGCAGCGCAGGAGAAGTGGCCGCCCTCAAATTAGTTACATGCTTATTGGACTGATTGTATGCGGTCGTGTGTTTAGAAAGTGAAACCGTGTCTGTTTTTAACTTGGAATTGTGTATTAGTGAGCATATTGACCCAGGCAGATGTTTTGCCCCAGGCCTGGTGCTGCACTGATCAATACAGTCAAGAGCCCCTAAACCCCAACGGGTGTCCTAATGCAAAATTAGTTCTGAGTGTTGTGTGATGCCATGAAAGATCGTGTAATATTCCTCCCTAGGGAGGCAAACAAATAAACAGCAAGCCATCAGTTTTACTGTAGCAGGTTTTGATGTGGCTCTTGTAAAAGAAAAAGACAGAATTATCCTATATTTAATATTATCTCATATTTTATAACTGTGCACAAAAACATTATTATAATAGTATTATAATATATTTGTATTTAGGGATTTTTGGGAAATTTGTGCATATATGTATTAATTAGAACTAAATTAGCACTATATATAATAACATATATATATATATATATAATAACAGTCAAGTATATATATAGAATATATACATTATTTTTTAGATTATATTGTATTTTATATTAATTTAACAAACTATTACATAATGTATAATTAATTATTTACATAATGTAAACTTTTTACGTATTTACATATTATATTTTTACATATGAAGAGTTCAGATGCAAAAGTGAATGAGCATTTTTATCAGGCTCCTATATTTATGTTCAGTTATTTCACTTTAATTGCATAGAAAAGGACCTATACATTGTCATTAGATGAAAATTACTGAACCTAAATATAGCAGCCTGATAAAAATACTCATTTTAGACGAAAATTTCAGATGGCACTTAGAGGCTTTTGCATCTGAACTCTTCATATACTTGTATATGTTCAATTTAATTAATGCTTGCTGCACCATAAAATGCCACTCCTGCTGTGTCTGGAGACTTCCGGACTCAGTGCAGACTGCTAATGCAGCGACAAAATCGACCATTTGAGTGAACTGTTACACATTTTAGGTGTTACACCTCCCCATTTATCCTAGTATGCTTTAAAAATAGATGTGGTTTCAATGTGAAACTAAATGTGCTTCCTAGAAGCTTTTTGCAAAGCTGAAGTTAGCACTAATGTGTATTTTGGCAAAGAAATGTTGTATGTCTTTTTTGTGCATTGAAAGGGCTCATGTGCCCTTGACCCTTCGCTTATATAAAGTGCAGAGTTTAGTCGGTTTGACACTATAGTTCACTGTCAGACATGTATTAGAGCTCATGTCATGTGATTTGTCCACAGATGCCTGCTGTACATGCACATCTGTTGATTCTCTTATCTCAAACAGTCTCTGTGTATGTATTTATAAGCACAGAAGGGGGAAAGTCTTCATACACACATTTAGACACGGGGATACACTCAGTCCTCTGTAGAACGCGCAGAGAAGACATCACCGATTTTTTCCACATGACTGGCAAAACATGACTGGTTTCATTCATCTGACACTCGCTACGGGTAACTCTGCCAACACTTGTTTTATCACAATGTTCTGGAAGGAATTTTAAAGGGAAGTTTGAAATAAAGTAACAGATATGGTATGTCACAAAATTCATTTCTAATTTTTTTAAAGGTTAAAAAATACATATATTTATTAGTTCATTGAACTGAATGAAAATTTATTTTTTTTCATTAAATGTATTTGTAAATGTATAAATGTAATTAAATTAATTAAAATACACACTGTATGAAATAAAATAAATATATATTTAAAATAGGCTTGTAAAACATTTTTTTGTGTTTAGTGCATTTTAAATATTGTGGATGCAAATGGTACTTCAGTACGAATATTAATATAAAATATATGCATCTTTAATATAAAATTAATTGCTGTACAATTGCTTTTAAAATGTGAAAAATAAAATGATTTATGATTTTCATCTCTGTTTCTTTGTGCTGTTGATGCAGTGGTGTTGGGTTGCCTGTTGTGATGACGAGAGTTCTCACTGACTGATAGATGGTAACGATTGCTCTTCAGTAATAAGCTTTTGAGCTGCATGGCTGTTAGCTTGCTTGACCGATGTGTCTATATGTTTACAGACACAGTGACAGCTTAACTAAATCAATCCATTCATAGACCTCCACCTTTCTTATTCATCCATCTCCATTTATCTGATGCTTCTTATCCTCCAATCAGAGCAGAAACTTAATAACTCTTTGCTGAATGGTTAATTAGGATGTATTATTTCACTTATATGAAATGGATGTGTTGTAAGTTAAGTACTATTTAGCAGGTACCTTTCATGGAAAGTCCCCCTGGAGCATCATTTTATTTTTTTTTACATTATGTGTATGTATTTCATGTTTTTGTATTTTTTTTATTGTCTTTTTTTTAAATTACTATTTAGGTTTACTTTATTTTTTATTTCAGTTTTAGTTTTAGCTTCAGATTAATTTTTTTTATTGATTTCTAGTTAGCAATTTTAGTGCTTCAGCTTTAAACTAATTTTAATTAGTTGCCAATGTGACATTTATAAAGTTTAAGTTTTTCATCAAATATTTATGTTTTAAATATTTCAGCTTTATTTCAGTTAATGTGACTTTAAACAATAATTTTTAGTTTTAGTTAACAATAATAACCCTGCAATGCAAACCATGTTGACTACAACTATTTAGCTGCTACCCCTAATTTAGCTCAGAAATGTTAGAAAGTTAGTATTTGTTTCATGAATTAAATTATTTGCACTCTATTAGATTTTTAGGCACTTACATTTGATGTCATAACTGAGAATTTGCTTACATCATTACACTAACATCATGCCATATCCCATGATGTTATTGATACATCAGTCATGTGATCCCATCATCAGCACTTCTGTTCTATTCTTGGCCACAAGCTGCTGACAAACCAATGGAAATAAGTTCAGATGTGACATATTAGGTATTTGCTTCTGCATTTTAGTGCACAGGCTGACTTGGCATGTTAGACCCATTGAATACAGATGGGTGAAGTTCTCCTAAATTTCAGTTAGTTCAGGAAACTTGAGAAACAGGAAACAGAATTTCCTAAGGAATTGTGTTTAAACAGTCACCAGGTCATCTCATGGCTTCTTATAAATGTTGTTGCTTATAAACTGACACTGTTATTGAGGTGAAGATGGATCATATTTAGCACCATAAATGATCAGATCTGTGAGTTTTTACAAATGTCAAGTGCCCGTGGGCTTTGAAGGAGAGAGAGGAAGATCAGAAGACCAGAAAATCACTCAGAGAGAGTGCAGAAAGAGACAAAGCGCAGAGCATCTGTCCTGCTATTGGATTTCCATGGTTAAATATATCACTGCCACTAAGGAGAAAGATCAATATCAATAGATCAAAATCAATAGCTGCGCTCACATTGCCAGCTTGTCTCTCTCTTATTTGTCTCTGTCTTTACTACTTTTTATTATTATATGGACACTGAATGCACAATTAAGCCTTTATATACAAGCATACAAACGTGTGTGGGATGAAGTGCCCTTCAAGGCTCTTGTTCATGAGTGGATGTGGCGTTTATTGAGCATCGAGTGACAAGGTTTTTTAATTTTGGATTTCAGGGGGAATATTTTATTCAGTACTAATGAGTGTCAAAAAATAGTTCTGTCTAATTGAAATTGACTAATTCAGTTTGTGCTTATCAGAGTATCATGATAGCTTAGCAACATATGCTAACAGCAGACTGTATTGGAAACAAGTGCAGGTGTTAGCAGGTGTTAGACAGCCCATGTAATCTCACCACAGGATGTAAGATGTGTTACGCTGAATGATGGTACCCAGGAATCATTGTTTAGTTGGGTGTTAGAAGCAGTTCAGGCCTGAGGGGTATAATGTCGGGATGTGTCAGAGCTCTTTGAGAGGAACAGCATCTGACATCTGCTGTTAGTCAAGAGTATGCAGTGATGTGAAGTGCTGGGCTCTCCGAATGAGAACACTCCACACACACAGACACTATATGAGGAGGTGTGTGTCAAGTGCTCTGATTCTCCTCAAGAATCTTTAGAAAGATACGCATTGACGATCTCCACACTCTAGCTAAACTATGCCCAGGAGAAGCCAATTCTAGCAGCACAAATTCTATTGTATTGGGAGCCCATAGGGAATATATGAAAGTGCAACCAAATTCAGAAAAATGTGGAAACAAAAATCAAAAGTGTACACACACACACACACACACACACACACACGTGTGTTTGCACTTTTAATATGCAAATATATGTATACATGGAAATCTATGTACATATCTACTGCATACATAAAAAAACAAATTGCAAAAAAAAAACAAATTATTGAATTAATTAATGAATTAATTAAATTATTTAAAGTTTATTACTTAGGGTTAGAGTATTCAAAAAAGAAAAAAGAAGAAAAAAGCTTTTTTTAAAAACAGGAAACTGCTGTCACTGCTTGATAATTCATATCAACTGCCCATGTGTTTCTAAGTGTATTTGTTGTAAGTAGCAAATATTGTGCACATTCCTATAAATGTATATATGCATGTATTTAGTTATATATGTACCAGTGTGCATATTTATGTGTACAGAAGATTTAAATGACATGAGTCCACAAATACATGTGGTGGTTTCTTTCATCAGGCCTCTGGCAGAAGCTGATCT